CTTTATTTTACAGTACGTGTACTAACAGTGTAAGAAAGTACTGATAACATAATGTAACTATGAGGTAGGGTTATGTTTAGGGGTAGGCTCAGGGTTAGTACCTAATTACTATAATAAGTACATTGTATGTGCAAGCAGAGCAAGACTGAAAAAATAGTGTGTTACACTTTATTTGAAGGTGTCCTTGTTACAGTGTAACTATACATGTAAGTACTGAGTAATATTAATTAACTGCATGTACTTACTATATGGTTAGGGGTTGGCTTAGGGTTAATTGCATGTAAATATGCATAATTAATTGTTGTTATAATAGTAAGTACATGCAACATGTGTAACAAGGACACCTTAAAATAAAGTGTTACCAAAAACTGCTACTGAAATTGCTAGTATATTTCACAAGTAATTACAAAGAAGCATCAAGTAACAGTGAATTAAACTAGACATTTTGGTTCGAAACGGAAATGGTATATTCTTGTAAAACATTCTCCAATAATTGTACTATAGATAAAATGACAATGTGGTAACAAGAACAAGAATTAGCTAATTTTATTTCAAAACGGCTTCATTTGATCAATTTGAATAACATGGTTTATATGAGTTATTAATGGATGTCAATGGCAGATGATTGCAGTGCTCTTGCTTGTTATCCACACTCACTAGCTTGTAAGATGCTTGCAAAGCCTTGTATCATGTGTGAAAGAGCAAGTGCAATGGATTCAGAGAGATTGAACAGTGACAGCACATGCCATCTCCAACTCTCTATTCCTAGCTATTTCTAGAATCACTCTGAGTGACTTTAAAGGGTTAAAAGAACAGAGTGCATGCTGCTTTTGCTTTGTAACAGACTTCAAGACCATATTGCACTACTACATCCAAGATGAAACCGGATTTTTAATTCTTTTTTTTTTTTTTTAGGTTTTATTGAAGTGCGGCATGGTGAAGTTCATTTTGTTTCAGTTCAGTTTTAATAAGCTCGAATCTCTTTAGTTCTATTCCTTATGGCAATGCCTTTTAATTTATATGGTGTAAGGTATTCTTTACAGAAGGCTGCACTATATCCAGAACTTCAGATCATCAAATTCGAACATGAAATATATGCAGTAAACTGTTGTTTTTTGCAGGATATGGAGGTCCATTGACAAACATTCCTCCGGAGAGGTTCAATGCCACAGCTGTGCCAAAATCCTACCACTCCCCCTGGGAAGAGGCCATCAACAGCGACCCCACGCTCACCGACACACTTAAAGTTCACATGCCAGTGCCTGAGCCTAAACCAGAGCTGCCAGACTACAGAAGCTTTAATAGGTATGCATTTTATGCTGAATCACGAAACATGCACATGAATACTGTTTCCAATGAAGTCTGGGTAACACTTTATTTTAAGGTGTCCTTGTTACACATGTTACATGTGATAACAATTAATTATGCATAATTACATGCAAGTAACCCTAAACCAAACCCTCATCCTAACCCTAACCATAAGTACATGTAGTTACTTAATAGTACTTAAATGTAAAAGTACACTGTAACAAGGGCACCTTAAAATAAAGTGTAACCGAATACTGTTACATTTAGTTTCATTTTAATTTTAGAAAAATCAAATATAATGTTCTTTAAGGTCATGTTGGTTTATTTTAACTCTATCATACAGTATTTATCATCAAATATAGTTTAATGATAGTTAACATAGTTATTTTTTATGCGTGGTACACTGTTGAAAATAATATAATTGTTCAAGTGGATTTATTCAGTCCAGTAATAATGTATCTGCACAACACAGCACCATCCTGAGGAGATACACAGGAGGTGCAAGTCTCAATATCCATATATCCAATAATTCATATCTGACAAATGTGTTAAAACTCAGGGTGTTTTTTCAGACTTTTTTTTTTAGAATATATAGCCTATATATGCAGTCAAACCAAACTGTATTCAGTAGACGGGTACACAATACACACACACACACACACACACACACACACACACACACACACACACAGTACACAGTGATCAATTTAATTTCACATTTAGAATGACTGATTTTACTTTTACACTATTATACAATTATATCCAAAATTTCATCCCAAAATAAAATAACTAAAATTTATTTTATTATTGAAAATATTTACAAATTGTAATAGGTTATATTTTAATAATCATAACAATAACTATAAGTAATAATAATAATTACCATTAAATTATGTAATATTTTGTGTACTGATGAAAAAATATGTATGCATGAAACGAACTGTCCAAAGTTCCAGCAGCAGAACAGAAACCAATACAGATGCGTCAGTGATTAAATCTCTGATTCTTAGGGTGGCCACACCATATGGTGGTTTCGAAAAAACCCCACGAGGGATCACCTTTAAGCTTCCAGAGGTGGACTTGAATGCTCCTCGATACCCCGAGCTCCAGGATCCTGCAGCCAAGCGACCCATTTTCAACAGGACGGCCCAGGGCTGGATCTCCGACGGCACGCCTCTCATTTTACCCACCG